AGGGTTTAGGTTTAGAGTTTATAGGGTTTAACAGAGCCCCTGCTCGCGAAAGATGATTTCTGCGAGCCTTGACACCGACTCAAGCCTCTACCAGAGAAACATTCTGTAAGGGGCCGCTACCATGAAAAAAGGCATGGTTTAGGGTTTAGGGTTTAGGGTTTAGGCAGATTTAACAAACCGTGTACACCACACTGCGGATCAAAACGAGAAAGCCTCCGGCTGCTCTTCCATGTGTCTATGACTAGGCTGTGGTTGAGGCTAGCGTTGCCCTTCTTTTCCTTCACAGACGTCAAGCAGAGGTCGCTGGCCGTTCAACTCGGCCCAGACATTGTGCAACCCTGTTACAAGTTCAACTTCTTGGGATCTGTCCAAGAGTCGTCCTGTTTGACGCTCTTCTTGTTACAAATCTGTACAAGTTTGGTCAAAAGCGATTGCGGCTACTGGCTCCGTTGCTGTACATTCTGTGTATATATATTATAAAACAGTTGTGCAGGCTTCTGGAGGCCGGCAAAGGCATCAAGTCTGCAACGCCTTACAGAGGCATGCCCTCGCCCTTCAACTGCTCCACCCAAGCTGCGATGCGGTCATCGGTCTGGTCATCTTCGTTGTCCTCATCAAGAGGCAGTCCCAAGAACTTTCCATCTTTCACCTGAGTCATTTCGTCGGGACTAGCTCAATGTACGTATCACTTCAACAGACTACGTTACCGAAACCCTGCTCGTTGATGACCCGGTCACGCTCTTGGACTCGCCGTAAGAGTAGCCAGATTCATCCACGTAGCCGACCATCTTGGCACCCGCAGCTCGGAAAGCGTCGTGAAGCTCCTCAATGCCATCACAGAAGTTGTCTGCATAGCTCTGGGAGTCACCGCAACCAAAAACGGCCACGACCTTCCCTTTGAGGTCGTACTCCTCCAGACAGGGGCTAGGACATAGGAGCAGGGGTTGCCTTCTTACATCTCCTTACGACAAGAGGGGATCTACGCGCACCGGACTCCTTGATCGTGTCAAGATAATCATCCCAGGTGGTTCCGGAGCGGTACTCGTCTGCTCCTGTGTTCCAGGTAGGGCAACCCGCGATCACTCCGTCCAGATCAGAGAAATCCTCTCCATCATAATCCGAGGCTTCCAAACCTATCAGGGGGGTCAGGGTTTAGGGTTTCGGGGCTTCCAAACTACAAACTAGAAATGTAGGGACAAGGTGACTTACAGATGCTTCTGGCTAGGACTCGCCAGGACCCTGAACCACAGGGAGCCCGAATATTCAACAAAGGTTCTGGCTACTGCTATGGGGGGGGCAGTTGGAGGAACTTAAGACCTGTAGCTTCCGCCAACTTGGAAGCAACCGTTTCGGTGTTGCCCGTCTGCGTTGCATAGAAGATTCCCACAGCAGCACGTGCAGTGCAGGAATGCCTCAACTGGGTCCAGTTAAGGCGTGTTGAAAGCCGCTCGGTTCTGTCAACGCGCCGGAGCTAGCCTAAACCCTAAACCCTCAACCCTAAACCCTAAAAAACCCGAAACCCTAACCCAAACTCTCTTCCAAATCCGCCCCAGCTTCTGCCTACCGAAGGCCGTCAGTTTCTGCTGCAGAGCACTCTGGAAGGAGACCTTTGGCCCTCGCGCTCCCGCAAAGGACGGTGCCGACCACCGAAGCAGTGCGAAGGCTGCAACGAGCGAGAGCAACGCGAAACGCGGGGCTCGGGCCATGCTAGGAACAAAGTGAAGGGAAGCAGCGATTATCAGCTCTATCACCTGGGGCCAAACACTGCCCAAGTGCCCTGGCTTTGCCTGGCAGTGACTTACGCGAAAGATGCAGGAAGGCTTCTTTAAGGCTATAGGGAAGCCCATCTCAGAACATCCCATCCTTCATCCCCAAATGCCCGAGACCACCTCCTCCGCTCGGGACGGGAATAGGCATCATGCATATACTTGGAAACTAGTTATTCGGCGCAACTTTAGCAGCACCGAGGTATGAAAGTTCGAGCGGCTACATTTTGCAAGATATGGACCCCAAACCCCGACAAAGAGTGTAATAATCCCTAAACCCTGAACCACCCCAAACCGAACGCAAACCCCTTTCGCGACCAAAAACAGGCCCCCCAAAACCGCCTCCCGTGCTAGGGTGGTGAGACTCTTCCGAAGCCTCGGGTCCCAGGGATATTGCAGGGGCCTTCATAAGTAGAATAGGGTTTATAATCAGGATTCCTAAGACTAGTATTCGGACTTATTTAGGCCCTAAGACTAGTATTGGTAATTATTTAGGCCCTAGGACTAGTATTGGTAATTATTTAGGCCCTTATATTCATGGTTTGCCATGGGGATCGGTGGGGTTCTGGGTTCAATGCGTGGGGGCTTCGGGGTCTTAGGCTTTGGGATACGAAGTTTGGGGTTTAGGGGTTCAGGGTTTAGGGTTTAGGGTTTAATTAGGGTTTTAGGCTTTGGGATACGAAGTTTGGGGTTTAGGGGTTCAGGGTTTAGGGTTTAGGGTTTAATTAGGGTTTTAGGCTTTGGGATACGAAGTGTTGGGCTTGGGAATGGGGCTTGGGGTTTACTATTGTTGTAGAGCTGAGAGTTTTGGCTGCTGCTTCGGTATAGTATACGGTCTGCGGCACAAACAGTCGCGGTTTCGATGGACTCGGTCCCGGAAAAAAACCAAACCTTCTGAAAGCTGGCTTCAGCGTTGCCTTCGAGAGGAGCGACTTCGGCCTTTAGGTGAGTTGGTCGGAGCAAGAGCATTGGCCACTTTAAGGCTTCCCCTAAACCCTGAACCCTAAACCCGGAACCCTGGCAACTTAATTTAAAGCTCCTTCTATGCTAGGGAGCTGGATCGTTGAGACCTTCTCTGCCAAGGAGCACTTTGACTCCATGGTCCTGGGCATGTCTCAGGGGACAGACTGTTTTTGCAGTGGGTGATACTATACTGAACTTAGACCCCTAGCAAAAATTATAATTTTAGCTGCTTCTTAGGGTTTATAGTAACCAAAGATTAAAAATTATTTCTAAGTACCCCTAAGGATAGCAGTGGTGCCAAACCAGCATTGTGAGTCGGAAGTGATTTTGTACAGGCTTCATGGCCTGCCTCGTAGATTAGAATACGGGTGGTTGTCAAAATTAGGGTCCCTTTTTGGGTCCTTGTTTTTCGTACGGCACCTATTATTTAGGGTACCCCAAAAGGGACCCTAATTTTGACAACTACCCATACAAATTTGATACCACGGATATCTGCCGAAGGTCCTCCCACAGCGCATACTCCAGGAAGCGCTGGTCAGCAAAGTTCCGCTCGTCGTCCTGGACGACGAAAAGGACCTGCAAGTGGATCCGAGACTATACTATGTACGACGATAAATACTATCAGGCATAGTACTATATTATATATATATATATATATGTATATATAAGCCTTATCATACTATAAGGAAGAAGACTATAAGGCTGCAATACAAGAGGGAAATAACTAATGCTTTAAGACCATCGCACTAAACTAAGGGTTGCTAGGAATAGGCTCCCTCAGTTAGGAATGGTCCCTTAAGAAAACGTGGCGGCTCCCGTTGAACATTGAAAAGGGACCTCCTGAGGCAACTCCCATCACAGCAACTGGCACATGAGTCATTAGTCTAAGCTCCTTACCTCCCCCTTTGATGAGCTCCGTAAGAGGACACTATTCACTGTAAAATCCCGCATATATCCCGCTTTTGAAGGAGTTTAGAGCTTCCTCCGAGGTCGGCTATCGCAGCCGATACTTCCTGGTGCCGACACCCAAGCACAGTAACCCTGGGTTTGTACCCTTCCCAAGAGCCGATAAAGCCCTATACCCTAAACCCTTAACCCCGATGGCTTTAGCAGGAATCGCCGAACCCTGAAACTCTAAACCCACAAACCACAATAGCCGAGGGGCAAAAGCATCCTTGACACCGTGGGCGGCGTGCGCTTTCGCAAAGGCGCGAGGGATTTCCTGTGGCGTGCGAGGGCTCAAAGAATCAGGATTTGGCACATGGTGGTCTTACTAGGAGTTAGGATGGGACCCTTGAGGATATAGACTCAATAAGGTCCCCTTTTACGAGAGCGATACGTAGGGTTAAGAAGGGTCCCCTTTTAAG